TGGTGATGTCGGAACAGCTCAGACAAGAACAGCAACGCATCGAACAAATGGCCAAAAAGAGGAGCGCTTTGATCGCCGCCAAAGCCGACGAACAGGTTTCCAATGGCAGCAAAAAGAGGGGCAAAAAACAGTTGATTGAGGTATGGATTCATGAGTTGTTCACAACTGACTATCAGTTAAAAGGTTTTCTTAATTTCACTCATTCTTATGTCCACTTATTTCGCAATTTGTCTCATTGTCTACACTTTCGTCTCACTTATCACTCCATTCTTGTCTTCTATAGAAGAAGGGATGTCTCGATACTTCCTCTTCTGTAAGAATTGTCTTTCAGTCGATTCTCTTGTGTTAAATGTTTTCTAATTTTAAGATAATTTTCAAATATATTTGTCATTATTTAGAGCGAAGCCGAAGACGACGGCGAAGAGGAGGAGGAGGAAGAAGAAGACGGCGAAGAAGAAGAAGAAGAAGGAGATTCGGACGCATCTGAAGACAAACGCAATAAGAAGAGAAGGGGTCGGAAGCGACGCAAAAACGGACCGAACTCTAGGCCCTGGGAGGAGAGCGACTCATCCAAGAGTTCGGCCCAATCTGAAGAGGAAGAGGAGCACGAAGACGAGGAGGAAGAGGATGTGTTGAAGTTCGAGGACAATGAGGACGAGTTTGCCTGCGAAGAGCTCGACTCAGACCCCGAACCGGTGGTCGTCCGACGCGCCCGTACTGTCAAAAAGAGTCAGTAGTTTTTTGTCTATATTTTTGTGGCAATTATTTATAAAATTATTGTTTTTTGCCTTTTTTTCTCTGAACGCCAGTTAAGTCCGACAGTTCCGACGACAATGAGTCGAGCAGTGAGTCTGAATTGGAAAACGATGACAAGCCGTGCGGCCGGTGCGGCAAATATGATCACCCGGAATGGGTACGCCTTTTGTGTTTATTTTTGTGCGAACTCAAGGTTTTTAACTTAAAGTGCTGTCAAACTCGGAGTTCAATCACTTTTTCTCATATCATTTGTTTATTTTATTTTTTTATCGCATTTATTATCATTACATTTGCAGATATTATTATGTGATAAATGTGACGAAGGCTTCCACACGGCATGCCTTCGACCGCCACTTCTAATAATACCCGACGGGGACTGGTATTGTCCGCCCTGTGAACATGTAAGGCGTTAATCTTTTGTGTATTTTATGATTTAGTAATGTTTTGTATTGGATGTCAACAGAAAATGTTGTGCGAAAAACTTCAGGAAGAATTGGCAACACTTTCGGTGCATTTGGCCAAAAAGGAAAGGGAGGAACTCCGCAAACAACGGCTCAAATACGTGGCCATAAGTGTGGATAATATCCTTAAGAATCCGGGCGTCAGAAGTAAGTCGAAGAGTCAGGAACTGGAGGACGACTTGATGGCCACGAATGACAACGATGTGGACAATGAAGAGACCATCGATGAGAACCAACCAAAGGCTGAAGCGAAGACCAAAAGCAGGAAACGAGTCGTTCGTAGCGATGACGACGACGAAGAGAACAGCGATGAGGACGAGGAGGCAGAGGATGAGGACGACAGCGATAGAGAGGACGATATCGGAAGAGCCCTTTGGTCTGACGAAGAGGAGGACAAGTATGCGGCCATTAAGTCGCGCCGTAATAGGAATCGCAAGAATATAAACTACAAGTTCTCAGAATACGATCAACTCATCAAATCTGCCATTGAGTTGGAAATGGAGTGCGATTACGACCCCTCGGAAGAGCCCCCTTCCGGTGTCCAAAGCAAAGGCAAAGACATGTCAAACATAATCGCCAACTCTGGCGAAGAATTGGACTTTAGTCTGACGCCTATTGAAGACAAGACTAGTAGTGCGTTAGTGATTGAAGACAAAGCACTTCCAGCCAATGAAGTGACAGATAAGACCAGTAATGGTGTGAATGTGGAGTCCGTGAAGAAATCTATCACTGAAGATAAGAGCGAAGACCAAGACGAAGAAGAAGAGAAGGATGAAGAAGACGACGAAGAGTCGAATGAAAGCGATTCCGACTTCAAAACCGGTGAAATACAGAAGAAGAGGAAGAAAGGGTCGACGAGAGCCTCCCGTAAGAGACACCGCGGACTCAATGATCTCTCGGATACCACGGAAGACGACGACTATAAGGACGAGGACTTCAAAGGCGATTCGGATGCCACTGAAGTGGAAGAAGGATCCGATGACGACTTCGTCGACGACGGGTCCACACAAGAGGATGAAGAAGTGTCCGACGACTCGGATTTCAAGTATAGTCGGCGCCGATCGACACGAAACTCGAGGCAAACGTCTAAGAAATCTAAGAGTCGTGGGAAGAGCGCCCGAAATGCGGGTCGAAGAGGGTATCGAAGGGACGCCTTTGTGGTGAGCAGTGACGAGGAGAGTGACTACAGACCGGGCCGTTCGGCCACCAGAGGTCGGGCCGCCGCCAGAAAGAAGGTCAGCTATAGAGAGGAGACGGAGACCGAAACGGACGAAGAGAAGTATTACAAACCGGCGACCAATAAGAAGAAGTCGAAGAATGAGTCGGAAAGCAGTGACGAAGAGTGGGGACAACAGAAAGAGTCGAAGCAATCGAAGGCTGAGAGGAAACTGAAGAAACTGTGGGCCGAAAGCGATGACGAAGAAGAGGATGAAGAGGAGGACGAGAAAAAGGCCGACGGAGACGATAATGAAGAGGAGAGTGAGGAGGAAGTGGTGACCAAACCCGGGCCCAAGTCGTCCAAACCTACGGCTCCTCCCGCAGGACGACTGTCGATGAAAGGAAAGCCGAGGCTATCGAAGGCGAGGGGTTTAGCGAATCTGAAGGAAGACACGGATGACGAAGAAGACAGCGATTCCGTTGCAAAGAAAACGTCGAAAAGTAATAAAAAGTCAAAACCATTGGAAGAATCAGATGAAGACATTAGTGATAAAGTGGTCGCCACTAAAACCCCGACAGCACCCGGTGCTGAAAGTGTCAACACGACTGTCCAGAATAACAGTGAATTAAGTGAACAATTAAGTGCCGGTCCCCTAAAATCGGGTGCCGTTTGTGATTCAATTCTTAAGCAAACATTAGGTGACAATCAGGTGAGCGTGGAGTCCATGTCAGTGCCGCCGCCGCTCTTACACAGTAAAGACCAACAGTTGTCCGCATCGATAGTTCCCATCACTACTGTTCCTCACATGACTGGACCGCCGCTTAATAGTTATCCGCATCCGACGGACACTCCTATCAAACCAAATATGATTCCACAGATTGACAACAATTTTAGTAAAAACCAAAACAACAATAATATCGACGAATACTATTCAATGACACCTCTGGACGCATACCCCGTCTCGCGTCCACCGCCACTCAAACCAACACCGGTAGCCGATCCTTACCTTCAGGTGGCGAGTCCTCCAAGGATTCTGTCGTTGGACTCAAACACCGGTTATCCGAGACATCCAAACGAATACCCGAACGCACCGATTGGGCATCCGATGCAACCCTCGAAAGGTCTAATGGATCCCCGAATGGAGAACCCGTACATCGGCCACAATATGCCTCCAAATGTGGGTCCAATGCCTCCATTCGGTGCCCATCAGTCGCCTTCACGACCACCACATGCGGGTCCGCCCGGACATGCATTCAGTGGCCATTATTACCCGCCCGTTCCCGATGCAAGTCATCCGTATTACGCGAGACCTCCTTCACGACACGACACGCCTCCTCCCTTCTCATCGCCACATATTAGGCCACAAACTAACAGTCCGATGGGCGCAGTGCCACCGCCCAGAACAACAGCCCCCACTACCAGCCCTTTAATGCCTGGACAGCCGCCGCCTAACTACAGACCACCTCCCGGTCCCCATTGGTCACAAACACCACCGAGTCGTACGCCAATCACTGGTTATAACTTTGGTGGACATCCACATCCGTCAGCATCTCCTTACTACCGACAACCACCCGCTCCGGGACAGCCCATACCAGGTCATCAGTCGGCGCATATGATGCCACTGCCGCCGTCGCCATACCCTCCCGGCCCCTACCACCAGAACTACGGCTACTTTGGTCCGAACGCAGGCGCCGGCGCTCCAAACGGCGCTTTTATGATTCAAAATCTGCTTCAACACAGACCGCCAGTCCCTGAGGACAGCCATCAAATACCATCGATAGCCTCTACAGCCTCTACCACAACGCCAACCACCGGCGCCTCCACTACAGCAGCTAAACATTAGTGTCGTGTTTGTGAGAGACATGGGTTCAGCCATTCAGTCGATTCCTACTTATAATAGACAAAAGAAATGCATGTTTTGTTTGAAACCAAAACTGATTGAAAGAATTTTTCACAACTTTTTCTAAGTTTTCATTTGTTTTACAAACAAGACTTCATTTAAGTTATGAAAATATTAGTTATATTTTTCTCGTTTATTTCATAATTGAATTCAATTGTAAATATATTTATACTTTTTGAACGTTTTGTTCATTAATCACACATCAAATGATTGATTGATTATTATTATCAATAACATAATTATGACTACAATAGAGATCTCACAACACATTTGAGGCGAGAATATGAGAAAAATAATTTATTTTTAAAACCAAAACCTGAAAACCAATTGATTCTTACAATCCATTCATCACTGCATACAAGGATTACATGAATATTTAATTTACGTTAGGATTTTGTTGTCATTTATATATTAAAATCATTTTTATCTCTTTTTCTACAATTTGTGTCCACATTTTCTCGATACTGAGGATTAATTTCTGGTAATTTATTTGAACGCATATTTGAATCAAAAGTTTTTTTCAAAACTATAGAGTAATAGGAGATTAGAGAGGAATGAATACATTTGAATGAAATGTAAATTTAATTTATTTTTATTGACATATAGTATACATACGACTATCGCTCGATCTATCAATCATTTCTCATTTGTAATTAATTTATATTTAAAATATAAGCGAAATAATTATACAAATTTTTCTGTAAACGACGATTCTTTGAGACATTTAATACAAATTTTTCTGTTTTTTGTGAGAAATTGTTTATAAAAGACAATTTGACATCAAATCGATTATATTCTCTCANATTAAATAGGAATTAAATTCTGATGCAAATAGAAAATATTTAAAATATTTATATAATGCACACAAAAGTCAATGAAATTATAAATATTGTCTAAAACTGTGCTCTAATTCATAGTCTAAGACAATATCAGTGCCAGTGTTTCGACTTCGATGACTACGATGACTACGGCGGCTGTGATGAGGTGCCGGCGCCGACATTTCGCTACTTGTAATGGACTGCATCTCGACGTGAATGCCGGCGTCGGTGTCATCAGTGGTGCCGGCAGTCGACACATCGGACTCCACTAACGTCTCATCGCTTGTATCACTTGATGTCCGATCGGTCGACGAATACAACGAACCCTTCTTCTTAAGCTTTACTGCCTTTTTCATGTGTCTGTGTCTTAAGCATAGGATTACGACAATAGTGATCAATACGATTACCACTAATATTGATAACAACAGCGATGCGAATGTCACTAATGTTGTGAAACCGACTGTCCATTCAAGTCAAAGAAATTAATTAAAACTAATTTCAAACAGAATTTGAAATAATGTTTAGAAAGCATTAAAACAAACTTTTTTCGGCCAAAATGATGACTCTGTTATCGAAACCAAACCTATTTCTAATCGTACAGTTATATTCACCAAAATCTGACTGATTATAATAGTTAACAAATTAATTATTTGTTTTAAACTCAATTCAAATATATGAATTACTAGTTTAGCGTTATATATGACAACTGTGGACAGTATTGTCGATTCTCCAGGTATTCGCTCATCGATTATATTAACGCCTCGATTACTGTCGATATTTACAATCTATTGGTTTGAATATTAAAATTAAATTCTTAAAATTCTTATAATTCTTATAACCATTATAATAAACAAATGAGTAGCACCTGGCGATTATGGTGCCAGACTATTTGACTTGGTTTTGGCACAGAATTTATATAACATCCGATTCTGACAGTCTCGCCGATTAGACCATAATGTATGTACGGGTCCTCTATTTGCGGTGGACCTCAATATCATATGTAAACAGTTTTATAATTTATATTAGATTTATAAATAAATATCTTTACACAGAATTAATAATATGATTACAACACAATTGGAAGTGATTTAAATGGTTTAAAATTAATTACACTAAACATACCATTCAAGCGTACGATAAGTTGTGAGGATATCTCTGGGAATCCCTTCACAGATGCCCTACAAATGTATTTTCCGGTCTTCTTTTCTGTCACATCTTTGACGAGTAGTTCCCCGTCAGTGCCCAACACATTGGTCTGACCCAACATCAGCCACGCTATGTCTGGCTTTGGGTTGCCCTCGACCTCACACTTAATTCTCACATCCCGGTTCACATCCACGCCATACACCGTTTCGTTGTGGGGTTTCAGTATTGGTCCAAAAGATACATTCAGCGTATGTGTGGCCTTATTAGTGCCCACACTATTGCTCACTTGACACGATA